GGGACACAGAATGGTAAAATAGGTGATGTGTTAGGTTTAGCCATCATTGAGCTATATACAAACCTAACACAACCCCCGCCCCGCTCGCTCCCCAGACCATTCACCAAATTACCAGACGGGACGCAGAATGGTAAAATAGGTGATGTGTTAGGTTTAGCCGTCTTTGTGCTATATATAAACCTAACACATCCCCCGCCTTAGATCTATACGATAGGTTTTATTCAAATTGAATATTGTAAATAAATACCAAAAAAATATTTTGCGAAACAAAGATTGAGTCTTACCTAAGTAGTTAGTTAGGTACCTAAGTCGGTTTGGAAAACATGAAATAATAAGAACATTACGAAGTTTATCTTGAAATTTTTCCATGTCTAGGGAGAGGTTTATGCCTTCAGCCTCTTATCCTACGTCTAGCCGCCTAATAAGTGACTTATAAAAACTTATTGAAAAATAGTTGTCTAAGTAAACAGTGCGGCGCCGACACCGCGAACGCTCGACAACAGGACTGTTGCCGCACCTCGCGTTTTGTATGAAAAAAAAGGATCGTCCGTACGCTGTACGACAAACACACCGTTTCGGCACCGCAGCAGGCCGTCAAGAAACGCATAAATTGAAAGCGCCCTAATATTTGACACCTACCCGTAAGTAAGCGCGCAGTTAGTTGGATCCAGGGCGGAACTTAGGCATAGTAGTCCTCAAAAGAGAGAAAAAAATTAACTGTATTTCGACGGGTCAGGTGGTGCAAACCGTGACTCAGATTACCAAATTTTAAAATATGTCCCCCCAATCCTTTGTTGCCCCAAGCCTCCACGCCTTTAAATCTGGCCCTCTTGGGTCGTATCTGTGGAAAAATAAACATATCGCAGTTGCTGTGCCGCTCCGGTTATTTTAAGGTTCATGGCTGGTGGACGCTAAGGTTATCCGTTTACGATTGGATATTAAGTATGAACTGGCGGCCCGCTCTCGCTTCGCTTCCGTGTAGAGCTGAAGTGTAGACTACAGTTTTTGTTCTCAGGCTTGTATTATACACAATGACATTCATCTATGATTGTTCTTATACCTGCATGCAGTCTCAGTCAGATCGGTTTAAAATTGACAAAGTTTCATACAAACTTTCATTCCCTATTTTATCCCCTTGGGGGTAGAATTGATCAAAATCCTTTCTTAGCGGATGCCTACGTCATAACATCTACCTGCATGCCAAATTTCAGCCCGATCCGTCCAGTGGTTTGGGCTGTGCGTTGATAGCACACTCACAGACTGACATGAGGAACTTATTGGCGCAGTGGTTACGCATTTTTTATGTTAAAAGGGTGGCAAACAACCGTATGGCCCGCCTAATGGGTCAACTTGGCTCACTTGGTTCATTTATAGGTCAAGGTATATGTTACTATAATAAAATACTAAAAGAAAAAAATGATGTGGTGTCGTGGGACACCAGGTAGGAACGAAGTTCCTTCGGCTAATGTAGAATCGACACAAATTGCAAACTCGCTTGTGTATGCGACTGTCGCGCCTGCGCACGTCTCATTTAACGGTTTTATTCCACGCACTTTTTTCCACGGATTTTTTCTTACGGTTTTACTATCACATTTTTTTCAGTTCGGTCGCGCAGCAAAATCCCTATCCCCTCCAAGCCTGCCGTAAGGAACTTCGTTCCAATAATTAATTTACCTTTTAATAAGTTTAAAGTATAAAAACATGTCTCCTTAAAAAAGGTTACTATACTTTTAACGATTTCATAAATGTTAACTCACCTTGGGCTTAATATAATAGACTTAGTCGTTTTACTTTGCTAACTTGGTTGAAAATTGTTTAATCGTCACATCTAAATTTAAAAATAGTATCTAGCTATAGGTACTTTACTTTTGTTAATTAATAATATTAATGTCATGAAAGTTGACATCAACACATGTTTTAATATTTTGATGTCATCTTTCAATTGACGACACTGTATGAAACAAAACAGGGAGAAAAAAAAATAGCCCTTTCTAAGATTCTTGCCGGTTCTTCTCAGTACAAGGCCGTAGATTTACGAATCGATGGCGTAGCGTTTGACTTTCACAAGAGTTTGTAATAGTCTAGACTGAATAAATGAGTTTGAGTTTGAGCCACCATAGCCTATAGACGCTTATACTATACCAAAAATCACTCACACCGTTGCCTACCCTGACCCAATCCTGTCCCGTGGAGCCCTGGAATATATTTCACCGACCTAAAGGTAGTGCTGTTTTACAGAGGTCTTCCATAAGGTGGAGATTATTTCCCCAGACTGAAACTGAACTGTGAAAGTTATGCTGCTTTATCATCGAGAGATGATTTTCTCAGATCTTAGTAGGAATAAATACATTAAAAACTTACGGTAATTGTAATCGTATTTAAATCAATGTACCTATGTACAGATAGCCATACATCAAGTTATCACCAACAAAAACATTTTATTAACCTCCAACACTTCACAGAAACTGTTGCCAAATTGTTACCTATATTCTGCAGTAAGTAAAGTATCTATTGCTGATTTGCAAATAACATTGTAAATAGGGAAATTATGTTCAGAGACGAGAGGCTTGGTTTGAGAGAGGGGTTTCCACCTGCTTAATCCTCTATGAACGAAGAGGAGAGGAATGGAGAATGGAGGGAACCAATGTCGTCGGCTCGCCCCCACTACACTTCCACTTAATTGACTACAACCAATCAAACGACATCAAACAATAATCATAATCATAATCAATCGAACCAATCAGCACCCGCACCCGAGAGCAACGACGCAATCAGAACCACGTTTTGGTCAGGTTATCCCCTGAGAAGGGATGATCGAGTATACCTCGTAACTCCTCTATATAACCGCTGATTATTTTTGTTTCCTCCCAGGCGGGGGACCGGGTGTGAAATCCTCATGGATACCCTACAGCCGGCTGTTCTTTCCAAGCGCTTATATACTTGTTATAAAAACGTAACGTTAGCGCCACTCAGAAGCCGTTGCCGTTGGTACTCGCGGTAACGTTGTGGAACTAATAATATTTTGTCGAGGTTTTTTTTTTTTATTTTGTGTCTATTCGTTCAAAAATTAGCACTTTAAAGTTCAATATTTCGCAAACGGATCCCTAAATCGATAAATACTTTTAGGAACCCCGAAGTAATTTTAATGGAACTATTCAAACCGGGAACGGACAGACGGACATAACTCGACTGTCTCGTTTCATTAGTGGTGACAAAATAATGACTTACAATGCGATTCAACTAAGTACAGGACCGACTGGGCGCCATATTGTGATGTCATAGCTGTCAATTCAAACTAAATAGGTAGAGTGAGCAAAAAAAAGTTTTTATTGAATAAAACTTATTTATTAAGATCTAATAAGAAAAAGCATCAGATTTTTTTAATAACATTTATTTATTAAGACTGTGAGAAAAACATTAATAAGAATCTATCTAGCTCTTCTATTCCGCTCATCTCTGCGTTACCGCCGGAGTAGTTATGAATAATCATGCATTATTACTAGGTCACATACGAACATGCATCCTTTATGAAAATGAAAGTTTGAAATCGAGTTTCTGAATGCAACTTAATTATCAATATTTGTTATTGTTTGTTTAGAAATGTTTGGTTTTTATTCTTGAATTAGCGTAGTGCTAAAAAAGGGTTTCAAGTTTTTTTTGCAAACCGTACTTTTTAAGCGACATTTGATAGATAGAGGTCATTGGCTTTCCTATTCTTATTTGAATCGCATTATATTTTGTTTCTATAGTTAGTTCGTCAATCCTGGTCATTCTAGAAAAATAATGAAAAGGGTAGACTTATGTTTAATTAGTTTTTAGTTTAGATAATCATACCAGAATCGATAGCCATACATGGTTAAACAAAAAATTAAGTAAGTTCAGATCAAAAAGGACATTTTAATTGAGTTTTATCTTGTTATCACGTAAATATAACATTATTCTATAAAAAAAATACGATAAATTGAGATTGCGAATAAAACATTTGAGCATGATTCGGAAAAGTTTAGTTTGACATTTTTGGTTTTGACAGCTGTCAGTGTCAAGTTATTCATTTCAATCTTTTGTTTTATGTTGCCAGGTCGATTGGATTTTACAGGAGATCGCCTGTTTTTCTGAAATGAGTCAGGTTCTTCAGTTTTACTTAGAATACGATTTTCTTTGGGTTGTATTTAGAAACAAGTCGCCTGAATTTGAAGCTACTGGATGTGTAAGGGGTTAAAGTAATATAAATTTTTGATTCCCTAAAGTAACTTTGGTTGCCGGAGTTGCGTATAGATATTTTAAAACTATTTTCAAAATTTCGTAAAATAAAATTGAAAATGAGTGGAACAGAACGTAATTTTTATATTAGTTTTGTATAATTGTTATCTTTAAAGCAAAATATTAAATGAACTTGTGAAACGAAACGAAAAGCGCCATTTTGAATGTAGATTTTGACAGATACGTTGTGCGTCAATCATTTCGTTGCTTGCGAGTTTTCGTGTATGTGCTCCTGTGTTATAATTTGTGATATTTTAACGATTTGGTTACGCTTTTCAGTGTGTGACATCGTCCCTGAAGAAAACAGATTGGTGTTTACACAAAAAAAAATTGTGCCGCGGTGGCGGCCGGCGAAGCGCTAGAATTTTTTTTAAAGAGACCCTTTTTTATGAAAGTTAATAGTGGGGGAGAGAGGATTCAATTCTCTCCCCCACTCCTCCCCCTCCCTCGCAAACCCCAACACGGGCGGCTTATTTCTAAGGCTAAGGTAACCTTGATTATAATGCAATAAATATGTTATTGTATCAAAAAAACAAGCTTTGAGGGGTGGCATAAGCCACATAAAAACATTCGTTACTGGGCTATACCTTGATTTGATAATCAATTTTAAGAGGATGCAAATCGGATAAAGTACGTCTCTGCATCTACTGTTTTTTCTTGTAGTTCTTTCCATATGCCACTGCGTTTATCGATAACGCCTCCCGATTTTTTAAAATCGGACCTGGCAACACTGATACAAATTCAAATTTTAGAACGTTCATTAAATCTGTTGAGAACAAGTTGAGAACAAATTAATTTAGTTTTAACAACGTGATGGATAATTTATTACAGCCAGTATTACAAAGTTACCCTAACTACAACGTTAAAAAATGTGAATGTCCGAGTTATATAGAAATTTATACCAAAAGCAAGAAAGAAATAGTTCTCGTTTATGATAATTTAAAGGTAAATTTCGTTATACGAAACAGTATTCCTGTTAATATATCTAATTTATTTACCATAATTTAATTTCCAGAATAAACCGTTAACAAATACTATTAACAAAACGGACAATAAAGTAACTGAGGAACTGGAGCTCACTGGTTCTCCTTTAAAACTAGATTTGAGTCTGCATACCGTCTTTGATGATACGCTTGTATCAGATGAACCTCAATTATGGAATAAGGAAGAAGCATTGCACCAACCAATAGGCGTTGAAAAAGTCAGGTAAGTCAATTGGACGTAGTTACGCGAAAACGTTCCAACCCACAAGTCACTCGAAAATGAGTTACCATAACCAGGGTACTATTTTTTACATATTACATCATGTGCACACAAAGATAGTAGTATTTTTAGGTTAGTTTCATCAATAAAGTTTCACCCAAATGTTCCATCCCACCATTATGCCAAGGACGTGTACTCAAAATAAAGTAAAAACATTACATGCATACTGAAACATATTGTTAAAAACTCTTAATAGAATAACATATCGTTATAATGTTCCACTTGTCTTGGAACATTATACTAAATTCATAAAACGCACATTTAATTGTTACTTAAATGATCCATGTGGGTTGGAACGTTTTTGCAAAATCTTTATACATTTTTTATTTCTGCAAAAATGTTCCATATAATTTAAAATCTTTTAGATTAATCCATACTGTTTTTTTTAAGTTGCGAACCCTGTTCTAAATAAATTGGAACGTTTTACTATAATATATTATTTTCTAATATTTTGCTATAAACGATCCACAATTACTTGATCTATTTTTGCTATTAAATATGTTCTAGAGAATAAAATATTTTTAACCAAAATAAATAACTATGGTATATTTGGACGTAGTAACGCGAAAACGTTCCACCCCACAGCGACAACATTTTGAGATAAACGCAATTTTGTGTTTTAGCGGTACACTTTTACCCTGTAATTTTTTCAGGAAAATACTATTGGTTTTACTGTGGAATGCCAAGCTGGTTATTGAATAATATGCATATTTTTTGTAAATACATAATACAAGGGACATATAAATAGGTAAAACGAGTTTGAAACGTTTTTGCTAAATTTAATTTTGTATGAACCTTGTTAAATAGCAATTATGCATAAACGTTCCTAAACGAATTTAAGTGTATTATTTTTATAAATATATCTAAAAGAAATATGTAAAATAATAAATAACAATGAGGAACATACAAAAACAACAAAAAGAAATTTAAAATGTATTACAAAAAAAAATTGAACGTGATCTTTTGAGCTTAGAACCTATGCCAAAAATTAGCTGATATGGTTCCAAAAGTTATCAAAAACTTACATTATAAACATTCAATTTTCATCATCGTATTCTATGATCTCAAAGCCCGGAACTCCACCAAACCCATCATCATCATCATCAGTAGCTTCTTCAGAACTTTGAAGCGTTCTATAAAATTGAAGACAATCCTCAGGTATGTAGTGGTACATGGATTGTAAGTCCACTAATTTCGCTGGAGCAATTGGTTTGCCATTAGGCCACAATAAACAAAAATCAGGTTCTTTTATGTATTGCAGTTCTAGCTTTATTCTTTTATCAATTTTCAACTCATTGAAATTGTCTTCAATGAGTTGAAAATTGATATTCGTTTGCATAAAAATAGAAAACATTTTATCTTTATCCAACTTAATTTCTTTTGTATGTAGCCAACTAAGATTAGTTGTACTAAAAAAATCAGTTTTTGTCATTTTGTAAACATAAAGAGGTTTAACTTTTTTACAGGTTTTAATAATATTGATGTATTCTTCAGGTGTATATACGCGTTAATGGGGCTTGAGTGCGGTTTCAATTTTTGTGAAATCTTTGTCAGTTGGTAAGAAAGTATGGCCAGACTCAAGGAATCGGCATGATGTAGTTTTCAAGGTTGGATGAGAGCTTAAAGCAAATGAAGAGAGATTTTGAGCAAGCACAAAATTCACCCTCAGTGGAATGCTTAACCTTTGATTTGAAGAAAACATTGCCTTTACCCCGCATTCACGAATATTGCATTGCACAAAAAGCAGTTGTGGTTCTACAATAGTGGTATCCATAGTGCATCTCATGATACTGGGCATTGTTATGTTTGGGTAGAAGGAGAGGCAAGAAGAGGCGCACAGGAAGTAGGTTCGTGCCTAATAAAATATATAAATCAATAACTAAAACCCACGGCTGAACATTTAATCCTATGGAGTGATTGCTGTGCTGGTCAGAACAGAAACATCAAAATCGTCCTAATGATGAAACCCATCTTACATACACAATCAATACATTTTCATTTTTTTTATTGTTTTTGTATGTTCCTCATTGTTATTTATTATTTTACATATTTATTTTAGATATATTTATTAAATAATACACTTAAATTCGTTTTGGAACGTTTATGCATAATTGCTATTTAACAAGGTTCATACAAAATTAAATTTAGCAAAAACGTTTCAAACTCGTTTAACCTATTTATATGTGCCTTGTATTATGTATTTAGAAAAAATATGCATTTCATTCAATAACCAGTTTGGCATTCCACAGTAAAACCAATAGTATTTGCCTGATATAATTACAGGGAAAAAGTGTACCGCTAAAACACAAAATTGCGTTTATCTCAAAATGTGGTCGCTGTGGGTTGGAACGTTTTCGCGTAACTACGTCCAATTTATTATTCCAGTATATAATTATTTCCATATGAATATGTTGCTACACCCACATGATGTGAAGTATATCAATCAAACCCATCTTATTATATGCTATGTCTGTAAGTAAACACTGACAACAATCAGACAAAGGTGAAAATTAATCACTATTTGTAACAAACCCAAAGACATCAAGTAACATAAGTGAACCACTGATCATTTCTTAGCTGTTTTTATGACTGCTTATATACTTTTAATAAAATTAAATATTTGAGAACTTGTTTAAAACACACTTGATAAAGGCTCTCTAGTTTTCTGTGGTATGACTAAATTCATATAAATTGTGTAGTATATTAAGATACATACTAGGAACCACTCTGGAAGTTCCTATTGCTTTAATGACGGGTACAATATTGCAATTGGTAATATTATTTTAATTTTTTTATAAATTACAGAGAGATTGCAAACCTTTATGGTCAGAGTCTAGCATCAGTATCAGAAGAGGATGCAGTACCAATGTGGATTCTCACAAATCCTTCAGACGATGGCAAGCCGCTGTTACTCACAGTTCAATCTGATTCACACCACTTTACAAGGGGTATTGTTTCATACCAAGGTAGTGCAGCACTGGATGATGTGGACGTTGTAAATCTAATAGAAGAGTATGCTGAACAGGAGAAAATAAACACAGAAATGGTAATTTCCTTGACTAAAAACAGTTTAGATCTTCATCAGTTTATGGACTCGTTTTTTAAATAATCATTTTGCGCAAACATAAGACCAAGCCTGAAATTGGTGCAAAGAAAATGATAATAATTTACATTATAAATGACATTCTGGTGTTCTTTGTTTTGGTTTTATTTTATTAAATTATCTAGTCCAATATTACAACAAACTTAAGACATTTCCTTCATATAATATCAAAATTTTATCTATTTGACATCAACTGTATAGGCTGTATTTAATTCACTTTCAGATAAATGTACTTATTGACTGCAAGTTTTTGATATCGGGCATTTCCTATGGCTGTCATAGTACAGATGAACTCCTTAATGCACCTCAAACTGGATTAACAGAGTTGCATTGTGAGTGGCCAGAAAAACGATTGCAGACACCTTTCATTAGCTGTAAAGTACACTTGGTAAGATTTTAAATATATTTGATGCATAACAGTGCAAAAATTATTAATTGCAACTGCGTTAAACTCTTTATTTTAAAAAACTTTCAAATCATTTATATATTACTGATATTTTTATGATTTAATGGGTTTGAATTCTTTGTACCAGATTTTGATTTCTTATACCTTATTAATGTAAGAAAGAATATATTTATTTAAAAAAAAATGCTTTTTATTCATTAAAATGAAATTTTCAATTTCATAAAAAATAGGTTTTTTCAATATTCATATATTTTTATTTATCATTGTATAAAGTACACAAGAAAACATTTTTAAATAAAAATGAGGTTTCTGGTTGTTTTTCAATGTAAACGATCAAACAATAGTCATTAAATAACATAAAAAAAAAATCTTTTTCTTGACTTGTGCAATGAGACAATAGAGGTATTTGTGTGATGAGCACACAGTGAAAAAAATCTAAAACTAGCATTTTTAGCTTCTTGTTTCCAAATTAATTTTTAATCCCTGTCGTGTTGTGGCTCTCTACATGAAATTGTTAGAACTAACGGAAAACCCCCACTGAGCCATTAAAAAAGAAATAAGAAAATGAGCACAATTATTGTCGCTTTGTTCATATCAGTATTTACTTAATATATTATGCTCTGCTTAGTTGATGACAAAATAACTGTTGTGAATTAAGCAGAATTCTTTTAGTATTTCAATAAGGTTACAAGATGGATGGAAAAAATATTATTATAATTTAGATATCCATTGAAAATTGCGTGAGCTCCAAGCTCTATATCTTAGATATGCTGTAATGTCCTCCTGAAACTAACAAAAATGTCTTATACATGTAATCAATTATTTCGTTCTATGCATTTTGTAGGAACAAGAAGTGATTGTAGGCCACCTGATGAGCCCATGCAATGCAATATGGAAGTCAGTGAGCGCACTGCACAACATAAACCAGATGTTGGTCGATATGACAGCTGCGGGTTACAGCACAGTCGAATTGGACAGAGCTATTGTGAGGTATTAAAATATATTTGCTGCCATAATATAATGTATTCGTAATGAATTTGTGCTCTTGAATTTTGTGGGATGGATGGATTGATCTAATATTATATCAGATAATTCATTATCAAATTATCTACTGCATTGAGTGAGGCATCGTTGGATAGGTCTTTCAAAACATTGTGTTAAAATCATTTCTCTATAAAGCTGAGGCCATTCTATCGCGTTAATGCAATAAATAGCATTGTCATATCATGTCTATTAAGAAAAATCTCTTCGCATCGCTGTTGGTAAATTCGTCACCAAAGGGTTTTATCTCCACAAAATGTTAATACGTGTGGTAGGGGAAAAAAATGATACGGAAGATTTGTATTATGCTGTGTTATGATATTGGTTTGTAAAATACTCTTTTTTGATTTTAACTATCAACATCATGTCTTCAGAAACATAATCCCTGGCGCTAAACGCGTCAACAACTCTAAACGGCTCAACAATCTGCTCAACGAAACGGAGACATATGCTTATACCTCGGAGTTTCCTGCTGGTGGATGTTTGTGTGTTACTGAAGATACTACTACCCTGAAGCAATGTATGGGAACGATGAATTCAAATGGGTCGAGCAACGATTTCACTTATAAGTTATGGGATATTCTTAGAGGTAACACCTTAAATGTAATAGTTACTAAATCTCCAAAAAATCAATCCGTTCTGGGCCCATGTGGTGGGTCACGGCCCAATCTCCCTATTTCATCCATAGGGAAGCCCTGTGCCCCAGCAGTGGGGACATTAGAAGGCTGATGATGATGACATAAATCTAAAGACAATTTTAGTAGAAAAAATCCATGTGGCTCATGCATCAGGCAGGATTTGAACCTGCACCTTCCCCTAAAAAGGCGGACGCATTAATCAATTAGTTATGTTACCGAGAACGTAGTGACCGTACCGAATTTCTTCTAGTCTGATGCTTAGACCGCGTAGAATTTTTTCTATTAAAATTTTCACTAGGTTTATAAATCTAGCAGGTAAATATTAAAAAACTATATTATAAAATACTACATAGCTATGATTTGAATTTTTTTGAAATTTGTTTACTAACTCAGAGTAACTGACTATACTTGAAGAAAATTTGCTTCACATATATTTTTGGTCCTTCGAGGTGGATCAAAAAAATATATATGAAGGCAATTTCGATAGTTCAGGGACTGATATGAGAAGTGTTCAATGCAGTGCTGACTTAAGTACTAAATAAAACAGAAAAGAATTATGATTTTATTTATTTTTTATGCATTTAACTGCTAGATGTTTAAATCTAAAGAAAAGTTTACTAGAAAAAATCCACGCGGACCAGGCAGCGGACGGGACTCGAACCCGAAAGAAAAGAATTATTTTTGACCCAACTAAAAAGAGTACGTTATCTAAATCCAAAAAGATTATAAAATAACTAGCTGGCCCAGCGAACTTCGTACCGCCATAAAAAAATAGGGGTTGGTGGTAGAAAGGTGAAACTTTAAGAGTTTTATGTATTTACTAATGCTGTATCACAAAAAAAATATCTAAAATTGAAAAAAAAATTTAGGGGTGGATTACCCTTAACATTTAGGGGGATGAAAAATAGATTACATCCGATTCTCAGACCTACTGAATATGCATATAAAATTTCACGAAAATCAGTCGAGCCGTTTCGGAGGAGTTTAACCACAAACACCGCGACATTAGAATTTTATATATTAGATAATAATTAATATGTGCAAAAGAAAGTATGCAACAGTTCTACTTTAGCAATTTTGTTAATTATGACTTATATTTCTATTACAGATTGTGAAACGGCTGAAGAAGTAATTACGCTACTGCTTCAAGCTCTCAAATTTATTTCGTCGGGAAAGATACGACCTTTTGTAAGTATAACTAGTAATGTTGATTCTGTATGGAAATACCTTTGATTATATACACGCCTAGATGGCATATTAACTGCACGGAAGCGGCACAAAAATATTTGCTACATATAATAAAATGGTAGGAAAGTCAAAACTGTAAATTTAATATTTATTTAAAAAAATACTTGGGGTGTGATGTTTTTTTTTTATAATGTCCTGAAATCAAGATTTTTGTTACAATTTACAATTTTAAAATAGATTTCGAAATTCAAACTACTCTTCGAATTTTATCTGTAACATGATGAACATTGGAAATAAAGGTCAAATTTAAAATATCTTTGACTACATTAACTTTCTACATTAACACAAGTTCCTTGTTATTAGAAGGTCCTAAGTGCAATTACGCGTTCTTTAAAAAGAAAACTTGTATGCTTTGACATTTTTAAGCGAATTATCGGGCAAATGGGACAGGAATCATTTAGTTCGATCGTACATTACATTTAATTATTGACCTTTAAACTTTCAGATTGACGCCAATAACAAGACTTATCTATCGAAATTAGTACTGAAACTGTCCCGTGGCCATTCTCAAGCTACCAAAGTTCTCAAGAATCTCAAAACCAGTCCGCCCCAAGCGTTGTCTTTGGTAGCACAAGTGGGTGCGGAGAAAACCATGTGGGAATACACTAAAATAATGTCTCTGTTGGAACATTCTTACTATATAGCTGGGATATGGACTGCAGAATCCAGGTACTTTGATTGTGAATTGACGACCTCCGTGGCCGAGTAGTTTGTACGCCGGGTTTCATGGCGTCGCCGACTCGAGAGGTCCCGGATTCGAATTCCGGTGGGGGCAAATGTTTGTGTGATGAACACGAGCATTTGTACTCAGTCATGGATGTTTAATATGTATTTCTATATAAATATACTTATATATATAAAGTATATGTATTCTATCCGTTACCCTAGTATCCCATAACACAAGCCTTTACTTTGGGGCTAGGCTAATTCACCAAGTGTGAGTGTTGGAAATATTTATTAATTATTATTATTTATTATGCAATCACAAGGCCAAAAAAAGGCTTTTCTTTTAGATTTTTTTATGAATAGGGATTTCATTTGACCAATACAAGGGTATTCAATAAATGTAATGGTAACTTTTTACTTCTCTTTAATTTAATCTAAAAAATATTAAGTTACAATGCTCCTGTAGATGGTCTTCTGGAGGATTACCAAAGGAGGTGTCTGGTGGTGAGTAACATATCTCCGGTTTGGTTTATCTGAAACTACAAAAACCATAAGATTCTATTAATGGATGAAAAAATTTAAATTCATTAATCAATCAGTCAATTCGGCAAAATAGTGAAAAAAATGAAATGGAAAAAAATCACATTTTCGACTAAATTGTTTTCGTAAATAGAAATAATTATCACATATCTTATTCCTTTGATCAATCACAGAAGAATATATCTGAGAAGGTTGTGTTAAAATTTCAGACCGATCAGTTGAGCCGTTTTTGAGAAATTGTGCAAGCAGTTTTCCATCTTTGTCTTTTCTAAGTGATTACTTAATAAAGTAAGCGCTCTACTGACTGAAGTCCTCCCTTAATAAATCTTTCAGACATTTCGAAACTTCATGTGAATAAATGTGAGACAAATATCATTCGCAGACCCCACGAATCGATAGAGCAGACCAACCTAACCTAAGACACGACTATGGGCGGTGATTCCAAACTTAATCTTTTTGACACTTTCACTATACGGGGCGAACATTCTATATGTATGGAGCGTTTGCGCTGACGAGGTTAACAAACTCGTCACGACTGAATAGGGTATTTGACAGTGTTAAAAATAAAGTGCCAATTGTTAGCATATGTGTTTATAATGAATATTAACAGGGGTTTTTACTATTGTTACAAATAAAATTTTCATAATTTTACTAAAAACTAACGAAAAAGATAATAGTTCTCTTATCTATTGTCACGTGACCCAAAACGCTTGGGATTGGCGGAGTCTAAAATGACGTCACACGCAAGTAAACTTCCGTGTAAAGTGACATTACATTGTATTGTTTGACGTTTTAATATCAGTCGTCTGACGTCACACACTAGTAAGACGCCATATTGTCCAGAGAAATGTTTTCGCGGCAACTTGAAAATAGAGTTTTTGATCTGGTTATTTTTACTGAAATACACAGCAGAATGATGAATATCAACTTTTTACGGACTCCATAAACATTAGTCAATAACGTGAGATCGTTTTCTAAAACTTGTCAAATACTAAGGGTATTTTTGAAACAGGACTGCCATTAATAAAAAATATTCAATTCTGCCATTATATAATTCACTATCACTGACCAAAGCAACGATGCTTGGATTTTGTTGTCATCATTACATGAGGTCGTCATGACGACCTCCGTGGTCGAGTGGTTTGTACGCCGGGTTTCATAGTGTCGCCGACCCGAGAGGTCCCGGGTTGGAATCCCGGTGGGGGCACATGTTTGTGTGATGAATACGAGCATTTGTACTCCAGTCATGGATGTATAATATATATTTCTATATAAATATACTTATATATGTATTCTATCCGTTACCCTATTATCCCATAACACAAGCCTTACAGTGCTTACTTTGGGGCTTGGAGGCTATTTGGTGTGAATGTTGGAAATATTTATTTATTTATTTACTACCACCAATGACGCTCCCTTTCTTGTGAGGCGAGTTTTCTAAAATTATCATTTGTAAGCAATGAATGAGTGATAAAGAAATCGTTCAACTAACTTCATTTTAGTGAGCTTAGTTTAACTGAATCTATTTATCTATTAACATTCACAGAAGCCATGAATCGATAGAACAGATCAACCAAACTATCCAAGACATGACTATGGGCGGTGATTTCACACTGAATCCGTTTGACACATTCAATGGGGGCGAACATTCTATACGTCTGGATTGTGAATCGTTTTGTGCTGAAGACGCTAATGAATTGACTGTGGATGACTTTGCTTCGTTGAAAAAACACGGGCTGGTCGATAAGAAGGACGTTAATGAGGTAACGAAATTGTGTTTTGAAGTGCTTAGACTAAAGCATGGATTAACTTTAATGAAAGATATTTATTTTTTCAAAGTTGTTGGTTGATCCAATACCAGACTTACGAGTAATTTAATACTTGGATCGAGTTCTAATTATTTCTAGTCAAAATATCTTTATAATTAAGACTATTATAAAGACTTAGGCTTACTGTGAATTAAAGTGTTGGTATATTGAAATTTTTCTCATACTCTCAGATCTAAAAACCAAAGTAACTTGCGCTTTTAGTAATGACTTCATAATCAAATTTATCACGTCGCAAACATACATTTTAATTTTTTTCTGTTTATATTTTTGTTCGATCACCGAACTTTATAGCAAAAAACCATCAACCAAATTAATACAATGCTCATAGCAGTATAATTTCAAAGAAACTATGCTTACCAACAAAGAAGATATTATAAATGTTCAAACTTTTATAACGGTATACTTTTCTCAACAAGTTTGCTCAAAAAATGCGTTTACGGAAGTTGTATACATTAGATAGAGATTAGTAAGAAAGTTCAAAATTACGAGTCATACAACGGAGCGTGCGATAAAACCTTTTACCGCACGCTCCCATACATGACGCCATGCGTATACTTTATGGTTTTTTTCATTGCAACCTCTTTTGAAACGCTTTTAATCTATATACCTTTATCTCTCTGTCTCTCTGCAAATGCATGCCATTTTCTTATTAGTAAAAGTTTGCTTCATTACTTATATAAGATATACTAGGTATATATAACTTCCTTGGGTATAACTGTATTCTCGTAAATGTGTTGAGAAATATTGTATGACATTCATGCGGAATTAGATTTACAAACACGTGACTATGGTAAGCCCTCGACGAACTCTTTTGTAATTAACAACTTACGGCACTAATATTGATATTTTTTTTTATATAATGGTAGGCAAATGACTCTACCCCACCTGATGTTAAGTAAAGATAGCTGGTACAGTAGTTATATACTGCTACACCAATCATCCTCACTATGGCAGGCCGGCAAGGCCTGCAAAAATGCTTCTTCACGCCTCTCTAATAATTTAATTTATAATGACTATTTCAGGTACCACTTATAGCTGATGAAATCGACATTAGTCCATGGAAGAATCTCTTCATGAAGTTCGCACAAGTGCATGTGTGTTTGGAGCATTTGTATCGCGCCGAAACTTGTCTAAGAGCTGACTTTGGTAAGCACATTTGCAAAAAATATCCTAAATAAATTCTTATTAGAGATAATTTTACACAATCAGGCTGAGTGCGAACCAGCGTCCATCGGTATCCGCTTTTTTCTAGTGATTTTAATTATTAACTATTTAATACTTAAAGTAAAGGTATCGCAAATAGAACTACACTGCTCTTTCTTCTTTCAAACATTCAATACCTGTATCTCATTTGACATTGCTATTGTCTGAATCTATTTTTTGGTTAGCACTCCTCCATATAATTCAGCTACATGACTATACTATCTCCACTTTTTTTAAATAAAAAGCTATTTTATCTTCTCTTCATTGGGAAGCTGGTGCTTTTGGTTTACACCATGCTTCAGCAACGATTTTTAACGGTATTTAGGACGAGTTTTAATTTACTTTAGGTTTGATATAAGACGACACTCAAAGAATTTAATAAAAAACTTGTTAAATTCTTTGAGTGTGTGTATTATACATTGTAGGGGTCAGGACAATTGTTTGTGACTATAAGAAAGTTGTTTCGTGAGGCGGTGTTGTGATGTTAGATTCTCCTCCACTGCCCTCTTTTAAGCTCACTCAGAGCACCGGGGAAACAATGAAAGAAAACCAAAAGAATTAAGATAATGTTATAAGTATATTTTATCAACTTTAGATACCAAAGCAGATGAATTCAGTAGTTTTAAGTTATTGCTTATATAAATCACCAAGCCGACATGAAATGATGATAACTATGTTTCACTAATTATAAATATCTGAGCTGAATACAGTAGTTCAAAGTTAAAGTTTATATAAACCAACAAGTTGACATGAAATGTTTCAACTATGTTTCACTAATTATAAATATCTGAGCTGAATACAGTAGTTCAAAGTTAAAGTTTATATAAACCAACAAGTTGACATGAAATGTTTCAACTATGTTTTACTGATTAAATATCTAAGCTGAATACAGTAGTTTAAAGTTAAAGTTTATATAAACCAACAAGTTGACATGAAACGTTTTAACTATGTTTTACTGACTAAATATCTAAGCTGAATACAGTAGTTTAAAGTTAAAGTTTATATAAATCAACAAGTTGTCATGAAATGTTATAATTATATGAATACCAGACATTCATAACACTCTACCATGTACTTACATGAGTTCTCAACTATATCTAATATATTTTATCCACTCTGCAATGGACTGCCCATTAAGGGGACCACATAGACTAGACTGAATAAGCTATTTAGTGGATTTCAGAGGTTCTACGGCTCGTTTGATCGATATTGGTGACAAACTTAGTTAATTCCAGTTCTCAGTGAGATAACCAGTTATATAGATATATGTATAAATATGGAAATGGGTAGGTCGGGGTCCAACCTCGCCTTGTGGTTCTTCTCCACGCTCACCCGGGGTTAGTAATGAAAATACCTTGTTTAGGATAGGTTTAGCAGTGTATGATCTGTCCGCTGTTACGGCCGGGCTACATAAAACCGGAGAGCGGCTGGCAAATAAACTCCCGCGTCCCTTCTGGTCCGTGTACAGAGAAAGAGTCTCCTTGTTATTCCTCCAGTATCTCTTGAGGGGAACGTACAAGCCGTTAGAAATATGAAACTATCCGTAAGTATTTTGTTTCCTATCACAAGTTACTGCCTTATTGCAACGCCTTGCGAAGGTTCGTGTTCGTCCACCTGCGAAACTCAGTTCGGTTAGCGACTCCGCGCTATTTCCGCCAATATCCTTCAGGATATAAACTTTTCGGATCTATTTCACGACTCCGACGACTATAATATGCCTTATAATATATTTTGGGCAGAAGAAACGATGAAAAGATAACTGTACCACAAACAGATTGTGAAATTTTAAATGTTGTTTTGACAATTGCTCATAGATGATAGACGGGTCGTCTACTCCCAAATATGTGTCTATGATTTGTTCCTCTCTCCAACTGAAGGCAAAGGCCACAGTCAAACAGACAGCCGCCGCATTCGAGACGAACCGAAGAATAAACTCAAAACTATATACCTACGCTCGCCGTAAGCTGAGGAAAAGGGAATACCTACCCAAATCAGCGAGGAAATTCAATTTCGAGTAAAATTCAAAATCGATTAAAAACAGCGCCCGATAAGGAGGACTCAAATCGATATGGGAAAAACTATTCAAAATTCAACAACTGTCAAACTCCATCCATTCATTCACGCGCCCCCCACAGAGATTCACTGCCTGATTACTTTATTTTTATTTTTATTTTTTTTATAAGTCTCAAGGCGAATATTTTTTTTAGTCGAATAGAAAAATCGAGTATTCCCTCAATGCTACCAACCCAATCAATGAAGTTTGACAGCTACGCAGACGTAAGCGGTTCGCTATCATAGACAAAACAGCTGTCCTACGTGTGTCAGTGTCACGCCCTGTTTAAAAATAAACACTACAGTGTACCGAGGACAGTGTTAAATCAAGTAGTTAAATCGATTTATCGATATGTGATTAGCAGATTCTTTGAAACCGGAAGCGTCTTGTCTCCCAGAGCGTCAACTGAAAGGAGACGAAATCTTCTATCTATCACAAAAATAGATATGTTTGTGTTCAAACCTCCCTTGGCGCGTAAATTAAGCAGTTACTCTAAAAATAGTATTCTTATTTATCGTTATGGCATCATATTTATGTAAAAATAATAGCACGTAAATGATCGTACTCAGAGACGTCAACTTACTTTAAAGTGGATTAAAGTGTGTCATAGTAAAAAGAATGAGACAATATGCGACTTAATGAAGCGTTAAATTAACTGACTTCTCTGCTGCCATTAGTGTGTTTGATTGCTATACGATATTCCACCTTAGTTACGTCACAAATTCAAGCACGTGACGTCAATCACCTTTAAGTTTGATTAAAGTTAATGCTGTCACTTTCTTTGCGATAACAAAAGAATATGACATATACCTTATTACCACAAAAAAAGTTAATCGTGCATTCAACACAACTTTAAGAAAAAATACATACTACTAACTACTATTAAATATGCCTTGTAGTGTTTGTTTTTAAACAGGGCGTGACACTGACACTTAAATAACTGACACACGTAGGACAGCTGTTTTGTCTATGATAGTGAACCGCTGACGTCGGCGTAGCTGTCAAACTTCATTGATTGGGTTGGTAGCATTGAGGGAATAGTTGCTTTCTTTTATTCGACTAAGGCAGTGAATCTCTGTTGGTGCGTGTGGATGAATGGATGGAGTTTGACAGTTGTTGAATTTTGAATAATTTTTCCCATATCGATTTGAGTTCTCCATCGGGCGTTGTTTTTAATCGATTTTGGATTTTACTCGAAATTGAACTTCCTCGCTGATTTGGGTAGGTACTCTCTTTTCCTCCGCTTACGGCGAGCATAGTTATATAGTTTTGAGTTGATTCGTTGTTTCATCTCGAATGCGGCGGCTGTCTGTTTGACTGTGGCCTTTGCCTTCAGTTGGAGAGAGAAACAAATCATAGACACATATTCGGGAGTGGGCGGTCTAACATCTATGCTCAGTTGTCAAAACAACATTTAAAAATTTCACATTCTGTTTTCGGAAAAGTTTAGTTATATATAGTTATATTATAAGGACCATAACCCCGTCGTCGGAGTCGTGAAATAGATCCGAAAAGTTTATATTCTGAAGGATATTGGCGGAAATAGCGCGGAGACGCTAACCGAACTGTAATTCGGGTTGATAAAGTTTCACAGGTATCTTGGGTAACTCCTTATTACTCCTACTTATTTTGCAAGTTGTGGCTATGAAAAATAACCCTTTCTGTTTGATCTTCTGTGTCGTAGGTGGACGGTTCTGGACTCTCGCAAGGCGGGGCAGAACTTGTGATAGGAAACAAAATACTTACGGATAGTTTTATATTTCGAACGGTAAGCTATCATCTGACCTCATATTTATTCTCCTAGCACTAATTGAACTGCATTATGCATGATATGGTGATTATTGTCATCAAACATACCTAATCATTCTTGTCAAGTTAGTGAACATGAAATTGATTTCCTTCAACCTGGTGGGATGGGCCCCAGTCATGTAGTGATTCAAAAATGTAAACATTAACCGTGAATATCCCTCACTCTACCCGCTAGTGACGCAGATATAGTGATCTATGTAGTTTCCCCATGTCTGACCATTTTTTTTCAATGTGAACTTCAGGCTTATACGTTCTCTTCAAGAAATACTGGAGGAATAACAAGGAAATTCTCTCTCTGACCAGAGGGGACTCGTGAGATCATTACAATAAAGGTTGCAAGCCGCTCTAGGGTTTCATGTAACTGCGGACAGATCATACACTGCTGAACCTATCCTAAACAAGGTATTTTTATAACTAACACCGGGCGAGCGTGGAGCAGGTCCCACAAGGCGAGGTTGGACCCCGACCTACCCCTTTCTAAATATATATCTATATAACTGGTTGTCTCATTAAGAACTATAACTAACTAAGTTTATCACCAATATCGATCAAACGAGCCGTAGAACCTCTGAAATCCACTAAATAGCTTATTAAGTCTAGTCTTTGTGGTCTCTCAATGGACAGTCCATTGCAGAGTGGATAAAATACATTAGATATAGTTTAAGAACTTATGTAAGTACATGGTAGATTGTTATGAATGTCTGATGTCTATATAATTCTAAGATTCATGCTAACTTGTGATTTATATAAACTTTCACTTTAAAACTACTATATTCAGCTTAGTTAGGAGAGTGAAAATTGGTAAAATATAGTATAACATTTCTTGCCCACTGGGGGAATTTGTATAAACTCTAACATTAAAATTATTGTATTCAGCCTCGTTGTGACATTTTGGGTTAGTAAAATATAGTTATAATGTTTCATGTCAACTTGGCAATTTATATAAACTAGAACTTAGAACTAAGTTGGTAAAATATAATTATAGCATTATTTAAATTTTTTGGTTTTCTTTCATTGCTTACCCTGCGCTCTGAGGTAGAGTAAAAGAGGACAGTGGAAGAAATTAACATCACAGCCTGGGTTTAAAATAGTGTGTACATTTTAAAACGGTAGAAACTTATCAAATCTTTAAATTAAATTAATTTCTATGCTGATACAAGTATTTTTAATTGATACTCCATTTTCAACCTCAGGTCGGTCACAAAATTTGCTTAAAATGTCACCACTATTAATCGATTTATCATTATTTTATTGGCAGCTAGTCTGAAACCGATAGCGTCTCGTCTCCTAGAACACTACGTATCAGAGAAGTCTCCGATCAGAACAGTCGGCCAGCTAATGTGCGACCCCATACAGAAGATATCTATGCCGATAGCCAACAATATCGTGCAGGACCATTTGAAGTGAGTATACTTTTATTTATTGATATATCATTACTTCATTGGTAGCTTGTCTCGTCTCCTAAAGCACTATGTATCAGAGAAGTCACCGATTAGAACAGTCGGTCAACTAATCGGCGACCCCGTACAGAAGATATCTATGCCGATAGCCAACAATATCGTGCAGGACCATTTGCAGTGAGTATTGTTTGATCTCTTAATAGATCATTACATAATTGGCAGCTAGTCTCGTCTGCTAAAGCACTACAAATCAAAGTAGTTACCGAAAAGAACAGTCGTCAACTAATCGGCGACCCCGTACAGAAGATATCTATGCCGATAGCCAACAATATCGTGCAGGACTATTTGCAGTGAGTATTGTTTGATCTCTTAGTAGATCATTACATGACTGGCAGCTAGTCTAGTCCTTATCATGCTGTATATACCGGGTTAATTTTAAAACACCAACATCCTCTTAGGGGGTGATTCTACCCATCAACAGGAACAACTTTTATTATGGGACCAACTTTGAAATTCATACATTTCGGTCGATTAGCTGATGCACTTTTGTATGAAACAGCAGATTTTTCTTCGCGATATCAGCGTCGGTCCCAAAATAAAGTTGTTCATGTTGATGGGTAGAATCACTCCCCAAGGGGTTGTTGGTGTTTTAAAATTAACCCGGTATATACAGCATGATAAGGATAAAACTATATTATTTAAAATTATTATGTGCAGAAAACCAGCGTTCTGGTACCGAGTGGAGCTGATAAGGAAAGAAGCCGCTAAAGATATGGGCATCAAACGTGATTCCAAGATGGTCTACGTTCTATCTCAACAGCCTGTCTTTCCGCCTTCAGTGTGGCAAAATTTGGGTGAGTCGAAATTACCTTGACTGTTTAGCACGATCAGAGATCATGTAAGTTAAGCAGCCTTCGCAATGATCAATGATGAAATGGGTGGTCACAAATGTTTATCTTGTCTTTCGTGCTTCGAAAGGTACAGACAGGTCATAAAGTTACCAAAAACGGACGGAATAGATTGTGAATCTATATACAGGGTTACAGGGAAAGTCGTACTGAATATTGAAGGACGTTATTATTCAGGTCATTTCTGATGGATTTGGTCCTATAATATGGTGTCCGAAACTTAACCGTTATGGAGATATTGGATATTAAAGATTTTTTTAAAAAGTCCTATATTTTTTGGGTTATTGGCGATTTTTTTGAAATTAGAGCTCCAAAGGTCCGATTTTTTATGAACGTGGTGGGTCATGGCCCAATCTCCCTATTCAATCAATAGGGAAGGCCTGTGCCTCAGCAGTAGGCACATTAATAGGCTGGTGATGATGATGATGATGCTTTTCTGATTTTATTTACGTATTTTTGCTATTTTTACCTCAAACTAAAAATGTACCCTCTGCTACCATAACTGTTATTTGGTCAATGTTTTGTCAATTTAATAGCAAGTGTTATACCTTTTTGAATAGCTAAAGAGACGTAGAAGTTTTTAAAATTATTTGCAGAATAAGTTCCATACATTTTTTTTTAGAAAAGCGCTTCAAAGTTAAGAACACTTGGTGAAAATTCTTTAGTTATAACCGTTGTCGAGCAGTTTTTTTAGCCGTTAGAAGTAGGTTCAGTTTTTATTCATTATTTTTATTGCTTGACATGTCTTCTAACTAGATACATTAAAAAATCGGACCTTTGGAGCTCTAATTTCAAAAAAATCGACAATAACCCAAAAAATATAGGACTTTTTAAAAAAATCTTTAATATCCAATATCTCCATAACGGTTAAGTTTCGGACACCATATTATAGGACCAAATCCATCAGAAATGACCTGAATAATAACGTCCTTCAATATTCAGTACGACTTTCCATGTAACCCTGTATATATATAAATTAATATTCGAAAAGTATGTATAATGCGATTCAACTAAGAATAGGAACTGGGCGCCATATTGTGATGTCATAGCTGTCAATTTTTTTTTGCAAACCGTACTTTTCAAGCGACATTTGACAGATAGAGGTCATTGGCTTTCCTATTCTTATTTGAATCGCATTATTTGCACATCACTTCCGAAAGACTGAACCTAATTGGATAATTCTTTATTTATTGTATTCGTTATTGTCAAGACAATGTTTGTATATATACAAATTTTCAAAAAGTCAAGGAAAAATTAATGCAAGAAATATTTTTCTTTGGACAATATTGGGCAAAGATTTGGAAACGATCTTTTGGAAACATAATAGTTAAGTTTTATTGTTAGATAACACTCTCAATTTTCATTGCGAAACGGTCAATCTACAGAAGATTCCTCCAAACAATTGCTAACTATGGTAAAAGCTTTGATTATGGTAAAAGCTGTGTTCCTGTCGAGCGGATAGCTTTCATTTCTTCCAAATTATTGTAAGCGGTCAGCTAGTATGAAATAAAAAAAATAAGATGAAGCTCAAAGTTAATTGACAATTAACTTGGCTATATACCGTGAATTTCAAGTTACCTGAGGAACTTTGTCAGCAAATTCAGACAACGATTTAGATTATATTTCCGCAAAACTTTCTAAAATTATTTTTTTTCCAAAAATGTCTTTACGTTAACTCACTATTTCTGCAGTCATGAAACCTTAACAATTGTAATACATTGATTCAAATAACTTCTAATTTTAGGATCCGCGTACTTTATATGGACAATAATCCTATACTAGGTTTATTACTTACAAATTTTGTGCGTTTTACGATATTTCGAAAACGCTCTAAATCAATATTTTTGTATGGGTTCACTCTATGTTTATTTACACGATTTTTAAGTTTCTCTGGTAACTCTAAATTCACGGTGTATATGTGTTTTAAGCCGTTGGTCATGGTCACGGCGGCATCTGTAGTCATTAGCACCCTACAATCCATGAATGTTTATGACCTATATTTTTCGATACATATGTAGTATTTTGCGGAAACCTTAATATAGTCAAATTAATGCTTTATGACAGGATAAATGTTATAAAAAAAACCAACCTCCAAAATTAGCACTTGTCTACAGTATGAAATCTAGGTGTCCTCCACCACTTTGTACATACAATAAATACTATTGTTTTAGAAATAACTAGAATTTTAGCGATCTTTCTATCGATAATTTCCTTATTTATTTCAGAACCGTCTGTTGAAGATGCAGCAGAAATAACAACTATGGGCGAAGAACTGAAATATCATATCACAAAATACACTTACCTTAGCAACGAAGTTGTATCGGAAATCACATTATGATTAAATGAAAGCGCCTATTTTGTAAATATTTGTGAATACATTTTCATAATATTGTAATGTGTTTAATTTTATTTTTAATAATGATAATAATCTTTCACTTTTTATTGATTTTTTTATTAATTTCCAGTCCACCACAAGCCAATTTATCCAAAACTGACAAATTCTTATGTGTCTCGACTTTGAACTTTATATTGCCTGAGATAAGTCACATAATAAATTATAGCTATTTCATCTTTTGTAAGTTTCCACAATCGGTTAAAACTCTTTAACTTTACTTACAGGATAGGTTTCTTTGTCGATACGGTATTTTTATATACCACAGGACAACTTACATGAATCTCATCTTAGATGCGGATGTCTAATCCGTAGTGATGAGAACGTAGAATATAGTTTGAGACTTGCAACCTAGGTTTTGTTTAAGCCCTCTTTAGTGCGATGTGTACGGGATAAAAATGATTAAATATTGTCAGAAAAAAGGAAAAAAGCTTCATGCCATCGCGGCCATGATGGTCGTGTTGAATAATTTCTAGCCTTTCTTAAGCTGCAAGGCAGCGCCATCTGTGCATTGTAGGTAACCCACAATGTCAAATGAACACCTTTACAAGTATTAAACATTTGAAAGAGGAAATAGCAATTATAGTTATAATTTTTATTTCGACATGGCCATCAGGGCCGCGGCCGCGTTAGCTTATTGGTCAGTGCATTCGCCCGGATAGCGAAGGGTGCGGTTCGTGTCCAGTCTGCTGCCTGGTCCGCATGGAATTTTTTCTAGTAATATTTTCTTTAGATTCAAACATCGAGCTTTTTATAAACCCCCATTATACAGAGTAAATTATAAAAAAGAAGACATACAAATAAACAATAATAATAAGGTTGACCAGGACAGCATAAGCTGGTGCGACGGCGGTGGCATCAGCACTGTGATGTTCTGATAGGGCCTGATAAGAATGATAAAAAAAGTAACTTGCTCTATGCTGCAGGTGGTTAGCGCGTTCAGTCTGCAATCGTGGAAATTAAGCAATTTTTGCAAATGGTCGATCATTGGATGGATGACCAAACACTTGTTATCTCGAGCTTCTCCGTGTTTCGGAAGGCACGTTGAGCCATTGGTCCCGGCTGCATCTGCAGTCGTTAGCACCCACCAATCCGCACTTGCCTTGGGTGATTAGTCACGGCGCAATCTCCCTATTCCATTCATAAGGAAGGCCTGTGCCCCAGCAGAGAGAAATAGGCTGGTTGGTGAATAGTGAAAATGGGGTATCGAGCGCAGTAAAAGACGACGTCAGAGGGTAGACCGATATGTCTGCCAATAACATCTACCCGCAATTACTTCAGTTACTCCGTGATCATGGCGCTTGCAACAGTGCCGAAATATCGGAGACTCATAAAAAACAAGGTACATGGTAACAATCCCGTTAATAGCTATAATCCCTCCTTTTGGCAATTATATATTTCTTGTCATCCATAAAGTCGTGAATTTCAGCATACTACCATTATTTATACATATATTTTATTATCATCCCTGGAAACACGATTTCAACGATATTACACACTATTTACCATGTTGTAAATGTGTATCAGAATCCCAACTATAAAATCGCTATTCTAAAATTGCTAGATGCTTACCGCCGGTAAGCGTTACTCCATATCCTTTTATTTATATATACTTGTAATTTATATATTCTCATACTTTACTTTGGTTTTCGTTATTTTATTTATATACATATATTAAACTTAAATAAAATAAGTTTTCCACCATTGCCATAGCTACCCACGACAAAGATACTCTTTATAACTCTATGCCTAGCCAACCTCCACAGAATCAAGGGCGGATCCAGCTTTGGCGCCAGGGGGTGTCATATAGTCGTGGTCAAGTCACAGTGGGTACAGATTGTGAAGTGGTACAGATGGACCCAGCCCAGGGAGGGGTCATGACCCCCATGACCTCTCCCCCTGGCTCCGCCCTTGCACAGAATACCTATTTTAATTCTTTTAAGTTCAATTCGAACCTTCTCTAAATTTAAATGGTTCCGGACCTATAAAAGGCCGAGCCGCCCCGATTCTGGAATCATTTCTACGGCGAAAGTTGTTAACTTTTGTTGGCTCGCTACCGAGCCTCTCCAAATTACTAAAAGGCCTTGTCCGCCCCGGGACTCAAGCAAAGACATCAAAGTCGTACGGCACCGGCAAAGGCTTTCTAAACGTCTTACGTTACTCTACTCAAACACTATACGTTCTACCTCATTGGCGGTTTCGTCGCCTGGTCTCCAGAGCTTCGGCCCGCCTTCTAGAAGTGTCTACCGGCTACCAGCACCAGCCGTTCTACCTCGGCACCAGCCGATACAACAGAAGCGCTGACCGTCTACTTACGCACGGCCTCCTGACCTTCAAGCCCGGTACCCTTAGTACGAGTTTTACAATTACGAAAACTATGATAATTTCGTGACCTCGCACTCTTACTTAGGGTACTGATTTTATTGTTTTCGTTTCAATACAAATAAACAGTGTTCAAATTCTATCCTGAAATCATTTGCGTCTTCTTAAATTTTAAGTATATTTAATTTACAATTACGAAAACTATGATAGTTTTCGTGAGCTCAAACTCGTACTAAGGGTACTAATCCCAAGCAGTGGCGGGGTAAAACCTTAATTTGATGTGGGCAAGACAGATTTCGCGAGGCCCTGTTCTGTGGCGACCTGAAGACGAAAAAAAAACGCTTTTAAGCAATGCATAAAAATTTTTGAGGCGCGAGGCCCCTTGTACCGCGAGGCCGTAGGCGGTGGCCCACGTCGCCTACGCCTTACGCCGCCTCTGATCCCGAGCCTTCCACTGAGACGATGGCCGTCGACCCACGCCCACTATGCCCAACTATACTTCACACACCCACACTTCTCCCATTCTCCCTATTTTATTTTTAAAGATTGTAAGTATATATTCTATACTGTTCTTTTGCTTTGCCTTTTACCCTTTTCCTATTTATTTAATCGCTACACGACAAAGTAACATCACCGACTGTTACTTATTTTTCTCTTAATTTGGTCGGGTTTCATAGCCAAGATCCAGCGGTTAAAATTGATCATCCATTATTCCATCAAGCGCACAATCAAGAGTAAACGGGAAATTATGTACACATTAAGCGTTTTCCAACGCGCGCTTTGCTAACGCGCGTTTCGAGAACCAGGAGTTCTATTGAAGTGTACACATGCAAGCGCGCGATTCTGGTCAAGCGTGCGTCAAACGCGCGCTCTCATATTTTACGTATGATCGCGCGTTGCGCGGGCGTTAGCTGCGCGCTTCGAGATACTTGGGCCGCCATTTTGTTGTACATTTGATCGCGCGCTTTGGTGTAGTGTAGACGTCAGTTCAACGGAAAAATGGACACCGAACATTTTGACACAGATTTCTTTATTGATGAAATCCAAAAGCGACCAGCTATTTGGGACATGAAATGTCCACCTCTGTGAAGTTAGCCCCCCACTTTTTGAATTTTATTATTATCTAGGTTGTTCTGGGTTGTTCTATGTTTGTTCTACATTGTTCCAAAGTATTATTTGAAAAAATTAAAATTTGAAGCTGCCAGACAAGAAAAACCGTTTTTCTATGGTAGCCCCCCATGTTTGGAAATTCAATATTTTTTTAGTTGTTCCAAGTTGTTCTAGTTGTTCCGAACATTGTTCCAAAGTATTATTTGAAAATATTCAAATTTGAAGCTGCCAGACAAAAAAAACGTTTTTATGGTAGCCCCCCATGTTTGGAAATTCAATATTTTTTTAGTTGTTCCAAGTTGTTCTAGTTGTTCCTAACATTGTTCCAAAGTATTATTTGAAAATATTCAAATTTGAAGCTGCCAGACAAAAAAAAAACGTTTTTATGGTAGCCCCCCATGTTTGGAAATTCAATATTTTTTTAGTTGTTCCAAGTTGTTCTAGTTGTTCCGAACATTGTTCCAAAGTATTATTTGAAAATATTCAAATTTGAAGCTGCCAGACAAAAAAAACGTTTTTATGGTAGCCCCCCATGTTTTGAAATTCAATACTTTTTTAGTTGTTCCAAGTTGTTCTAGTTGTTCCTAACATTGTTCCAAAGTATTAATAAATAAATCAACAATAATTTTAAACAATGACGATTGTATCAGTACAACCGTGGGCTATATCGTTACAATTTCATTTAATCATTTTGAATAAAATTAATAGTTATAAGACAAGAAAACATTACACTATAGGGTAAACTCCCTAATTGTTGGCACTTTAAGAGTAGGTTCCATGTCAGCCGGACATTATATTACCATAAAATCACATCTAAATGAGTTAGTACACAACACATGTAACAGTATCAAGGAAATATAGTTCAATCTTTGTTTTCATAGTAGTAGTCAATGAAGGCAAAAATCAGCTATAACCTCCGATTTCGATGAACCTCCATCGATTTTCATGAAAAATGGTGATGAGGTGGGGGATACCATATGAAACAAATGTAACATAGCGCCAACTTGCGCTTTTCCCTAGGGGTAGATACCACCCCTTCTCGGGGGTAAAAATTATCTTAATAAAAATAACTCCAGGAATCGATAGAAAGACAAACTCTAAGCAAAAGTTGTTATATTAAGTTTTCGAAATAAATCAATACTTTCTGAGTTAATAATGATCAAAGATTGTGATTTTGCGTCAAAAAATTCATGTTTTAAGCGGTTTTTCATAAATATTTCAAAAGCTATGAGTTTAAAGAAAAATATATTATTACTAGACGCAACGAATATTCGGTTACTATTCGGTATTCGGCCTATTCGGCTGCTTTTATTATATTCGGCCGAATACTGAATACCTACATATTATTCGGCCGAATACCGAATACTTAAATAATATATTTTGTCATAGAGAAATAATTGGTAAAATGAAAATTAATATCGATTGATTACGTAGGTATATATTCATATTTTCATTTCTGTTATATATAATCAATAAAGTAGTAATTGGTACATAATCATCTTCTGAATTGGAAAAATGGAGCATTCTAT